TCTCATACTTTCTTGAAGTGGGATCTTAAACATTTACAAACTATTCAACATTCCCCCACTAGTTTGAAAATGTTAATTCAGTTCTACTTGATAAGAAATATGCTTAAAGATGGTATCTCTCGATTTAAACCTTCCATTAGTGTACATACTTCATATCTAATGAAGTTATTGGTGTCTAAGGATTAAACCATAACTATTTATATTAGACATAAGTGTGTGACACACATAAGAATTGTCTATCTAATCCAAGAGGTTTAAAACCTTTTAGCACTATTATGGCCATGTGCTCATCCTGCTAATAATGGTAATTTACAAGAGAATCCAACGTCTTCTTGTTGAAGCGGCACCACTTCTATGACCATTTAGGTGGAGTTCTTTATGTCCCTGTTGCTATACACACTTAAAAATGATAAAATCCATTAAGAGTTTACACTCATCCTTCAAAACGCAACAGACAACATTTGACTAAAGTAGGAATAGGTTTCAAGTGCTAAACATGCATATACAGTAACTTGTTCTTACCCATTAAACTTTAAATTTATAAATGACTAAATAAAAGTTGGGTTCCAATTACCAATGCCTAGTTTAAATATTGCCCCATTCCTAATGACATCCTTTCCACCACATCTCGTGGTAATGCTTTTGTGAGAGGATAAGCTAGATTGTCTGCAGATTTGACATAGATTATTGTTATAACTCCATTAGTGATCAACTCTCGAATATAAGTATGTCTAAAACTAATATGTCTAGAATTCCCACTATAAATATTGCTATATGCTCTAGACATTGTAGCCTCACTATCACAGTGCAAGGAAATGGCTGGCATAGGTTGTGGCCACAACTTTATATCAAGCAATAAATTTCTCAACCATTCTGCTTCCTTGCCTATTGTTGCCAAAGCAATAAACTCAGATTCCATTTTAGAATGTGAGATGCATGTTTGTTCCTTTGATGCCCAACTTATTGCACCTCCTCCAAGTGTAAAGATCCAACCTAAAGTAGATTTGTTATCACTTTTACTAGTGATCCAACTTACGTCAGTGTATCCTTCTAAGACCACTGGATAATCTGAGTAAATCAAACCAAGCTCTTTTGTCTTTTTAAGATAACCAATAATTCTTCTAATAGCTTTCCAATGTTCATGGCTTGGTTTACTTGTGTATCTTGATAATTTACATACTGCAAAGGCTATGTTTGGCCTAGTACAATCATGGTATACATTAAACTCTATATTGCACTTGCATATTCCAATTGAGCAACAATATGACCTAGGTTTAAGGTCAACTTCATACTTGGATCATATGGAGTAGGAGCTTCCTTTATATTAAGATGTTGGAATTTATTCAGTATCTTCTCTATATAATGTGATTGACTAAGTACAAAGCCATGATCATGTCTCTTTACTTTAATACCCAAAATAGTATCTACTTCATTTAAATCTTTCATTTGAATATTGAAGTTAAATACTTTTTGGTTTCATTTGTTCCCAACATGTTGGTACCAAATATCAACATGTCATCAACATAGAGACATACTATAACTCCATAATCCTTAGTGAACTTTGAATAGATACACCTATCTGCATCATTATGCTTGAATCCATTTGCCAGAATGTGTGTATCAAATTTTGGTGCCATTGCTTGGGAGCTTGCTTTAGGCCATATAGTGACTTAACTAATTTTCAAACTTTTTCTTTCATTTCCAAGAAGTATGAAGCCTTTTGGTTGTTTCATGTATACTTCCTCACTTAAGTCACCATTCAAGAATATTGTTTTAACATCCATTTGATGCACAAACAGCTTATAAATTGAAGCCAATGCAAAGAGAACTCTTATAGATGTTATTCTTACAATAGGAGCATATGTATCAAAATAATCTATTCCTTCCTTTTGAGTAAAACCTTTTGCAACCAACCTTGCTTTGAAGGTTTTTATTGTTCCATCTGTATTGTATTTTTGTCTAAATACCCATTTACAACCAATTGGTTTAGAACCATATGGAAGATCCACTAAAATCCAAGTATTATTGGACATAATAGAGTCCATCTCATCATTCACAGCTTCTCTCCAAAAAGTTGCATCCCTTGAAGCCATTGCTTCTTGAAATGTTTTGGATCTTCTTCAATATTTAACACCAAGGGTATTTTTCAAATTATTTCAGTTCTAGTTGCGTCAACTAGGAAGACAATAGATGAGAAAAAATAAAATCAGGATCAAGAGACTTTTCTCTCCTAATCCTTGTACTTCTTCTTGGTTCAATTGAACCATCATTCTCTTTTCTTTTCTTCTCATGAAGTGTACTTGTACTTATACCATTATGATTTTCATGCATTGAATTATTCAAAGAATTTCCAAAATTAAATATAGTAGAAGAATCTTTAATAAAATTATCTTCAAATAACTCAACATGTACAGATTCTACTATAACATTTGACTCTAAATCTAGTAACTTATAGGCCTTAGAATTAATTGCATAACCAACAAATGCACTTCTAATGCCTCTAGGTCTTAATTTTATTCTTTGTGGGTCTAGAACCTTATAAAAGGCAAGACACCCCCACACTTTGAGACAATTCAAATTTGGCTTTTTACCATTATTCCAAGTCTCTATGGAGAAACATGATTTTTCTTTGATGGAATTTTGTTGGTAACATGATTGGTAGTAAGAAATGCCTCTCCCCAAAGATTAAATGGCAACTTTAAATTTATCAACATGCAATTAACCAAGTCAACCAAAGTTCTATTTTTTCTTTTTGCCAAACCATTCTGTTGGGGTGAATAGGGGGCTGTTCTTTGATGTATGATGCCATGTTCTTCACAAAATTGTGAAAACATATATGAAAAATACTCACCACCCCTATCACTACGAAGAGCTTTAATTCTCTTCTCTTTCTGATTTTCCAAAACAGATTTATACTCTTTAAACTTATCAAAAGCCTCATCTTTTGTTCTCATAAGATACACATATGTATATCTAGAACAATCATCAATAAATGTTATGAAGTATCTTTTACCTCCTCTAGTAAGATGACCGTTTAATTCACAAATATCAGAATGCACTAAATCTAACATTTTTGTATTTCTTTCTCTTTTTGGAAAAGGTTTTCTAGTCATCTTTCCTTGCACACAAATATCACATTTATTGTTTAAAATCATTTTGACAAGTTAAATATCCATGCTTAGACATATATTTTAGTGATTCATAATTCACATGTCCTAGTCTAGCATGCCATAAAGTAGAAGAACACTCAACAATATAAGTAGAAACATTATTTATCTCATTAATACTCAATTTGAACATTCCATCACAAGAATAACCTTTCCCCACAAAGTTGCCATTTTTTGATATAATGGCCTTGTCTGATTCTAAGACAACCCTCAAGCCCTTTTTACATAACATATTTACAAACACCAAGTTCTTTCTAATATCAGGCACATGGAAAACATTAACCAAGGTCAATTTGTGGCCCGAAGTGAACTTTAATTCCACTATGCTTTTGCCTAGAACTTTTGCAGTGACATTGTTTCCCATAAGTACTTCCTCTGCTTCCTTCAAATCTTCATAAAACTTGAATTGTGCTTTGCTATTGCACACATGAACTGTTGCACTAGAATCCAGCCACCAATCCATAGACTTGGTTGGATTTGCCATGTTCAATTCAGTCGCCATCCTGACTTGCATATCAGAAACCATAGCAACCAATTCATGCTCAATCAAATTTGCTTTGTTGCTTGTTTTTGCACTGGTGCTAGAACCATAGTTCCTTGCATTATTCTTGAATTTGCAATGTTTAATGAAGTGACCTTTCTTACCACAATGGTAACAAGGCTGACTTTTCTTGAAAGCACTGTTTTTCTTAAGAGGCTTGAGTTTATTTTGGACAGGCTTGGCAGAATTTTGACTCACATAATTAACTTTCAAGGGTGACAATATTGCATCTCTTGAACGATTTTCTACCTCTATCTAGAGATGTGTTTGAAACTGTTCCATAGTCAGAATTTCATCTGTATGCAGAACATTTTTCCTATAATCATTCCAAGATGGAGGAAGTTTCAAAAGTATTGCCCCCACTTGAAGTGAATCTGGAATCTTTATCTCCAACTTTGACATTTTTGATACCAGAATTTGTAATTCGTGCACTTGATCCATGATGGAAATATTATCTTTCATTTCAAACTCAAAATATTTAAGTGCAAGAAACTTGTCCGTACCTTTCTTTTCATGTTTATATTTCTTTTCCAGAGCAATCTAGATTTATTGAGGAGAAGACATGTTGCAATACAGATCATAAAGTCTATCAGTGAGAGAATTCAGAATGTGTCCTCGACATATGAGTTCATCTTCTTCACTCCTTCAGAATCGTTTTCCTTTAGTGCTACGATAGGTTGCAGTTTTGGATCAAGAACGTATGGCACCTTCAGTGTTGTTAGTAGGAAAGTCAGCTTATCCTTCCAACGCATGTAGTTGGTGCCATCGAACTTGTCCAATCTGACTGCATCTGGATTTAGCTACTTGATGTTGGCATTTATAGGAAGAGCCATAAGGAATTTTAAATCCCTAACATTGTTAGAAAATATGAAATGGCAAAAGAATAAAAGAATTGTTTTTGAAGCATTATCTCACTTTCCTTAAGGATTTAAAATCCTTTAAGATCCAATAGAACACAAAACTCTTTCAGAATTAGATGTAAAACTCTGACTTTGCATAGCAATTTATAATGCCTGAAAAGTCACTATTTGTAGGGATGTATCCCTCTAGAAAGACACTATTTTATAGAAGTAGTTTTTGACTGTTAATAGTTATGTTTGATTTTCAGACATGTCTTTTCAAATTTTAATTTAATAAAATAAAATAAAAATATCCAAAAATAATAAAAAATTAATGATATTCTAACAGCCAAGCCCCAAGACACCCAAGTGCCCAAGTGCCCATCTTTTGACTATATATAAAGGGACAAGACTTAATTTGCCTTGAGTTTTATTTTACTTAATTATTTGTTGATAAATAATAGGCCTTTATAAACTCCTTTAAGTTTCCATACTTTCGTGAAGTGGGATCTTAAATATTTACAAACTATTCAACATTTCAAACGTTGAAACCGTCAGCTCGAAGACACTAAAGGTGAGCCTCAATCCATTTTGCCCAGGTCTCTTCACCATGCTCCACAATGCATTCATCCCTAAGCTTCTTAGTCTCAGGGCAAGCACAGCACATTCTCTTCTTTGGTTTAGACTCTGGAACAGATGCTGTTACTAATGCTTCGTTTTGGGGCGAGCTATGGGAAACAAGGGCAGAAGCATTTTGCAGAAGTAATCCATCCGTTCTCTCAGGCACGAAGAGATTACCCATTCTCTCAAGCGCTAGGAGATTGCAAGATACTGAGAGAAGAGAGACAGAAACACACGAGCAATGTGAAAACCAAAATGGATCAGATGGCCTTCAAGAAAGAAAAAGCTGTGTTTACAACATATGGTAACAATGTTTCAAGACTAATCAGAACAAGAAAAAGTATTTTCTTAAAGAAACACAAAGATATCGAAAATTGATAATTTTCATCCCAAAACCTTAGCTTTACACAGAACACCTAGAAGAGTTTAAGAACAAAATGTCTGCTTGCCAAGATATCTAGTTCTAATAAGTTGAGGAGCGAAGGAATAATTAACAAGATGAAAGAACATATGTCATTACTGTCGGTATATATGTCATATTTGACAATAAATAGCTTGTTATATAAAGCTCAAAAAACACAGAATGCAGCACAAACTCCTACAACATAAATATCAGATCAGATGATCATATACACATAAAGAAGTAAAGAAATTCTGAAGCACAGCACAACAAAGACTTATACGACTATTTAGAAAGCCTGTTAAGTTAACATTCAATTTTACATATAGAAAAAGATTAGGAAAATTGATATTATTGACCACAAAAAAAAAATAGCAGAGAAGAAAAGACCTAGAAGAGGCAGGGAATTCCTCTGCTATTTTCAAGGAATCTTGAAAACCCATAACCAGGCATTATATGGCAGCATGTATTATCTGGTCAAAATGATCTCTAAGACATTACCCTTTCTTCCTTCAGCATTTTAAGAAATTCCTTTCATAATAAGCAACAAAGTTTTGGAACAGAACCATGTATTTCTGAATCCATTATGGTGCTCTATGAAGTTAAAAAAATTATATTTTTCTATCAACCCTTTTCATACTATCCCTCAATCTCTACGAAACCTCCGTCCAGAACTAAAACACGAACTGATTCCAAAAGAAAAACCAACACCAACATGAAGAAAAAATAATCAGATTCTGTGAAAAACTAAATACTCAAATGAAAAAAAAAAAAAAATTGAAGATTTACTAACTGTTGTTGGAGTAGCTGAAGATCCAGAAGCACACACCAATGACAAAGCCGAAGGCTGCAGTATTTTCTTATCTAACTGGAACTGTTTCGAAATGGAAAAGCACTCTAGCCTACCGCCGGCGCCGGCGACCAGAATAAGCAATGGTTGACGGAAGGTTTGCAATGGGAAGTCCAGAAGTTGGTTATTCCAGAAACTTCTTTGGCGGCCCAAAGTTGGTTTGTAGTAGCGTGGCCCAGTACGCAGGTTAACTGGGCCGAAAGTCGTGTAGACATTAAAAAGGTAACTGTAAAAATATTCAAAAAATAAAAGTGCTAGAAACCATATACAAGTAAAATATCCCTCCACGTTACTCAAATCCTTCAAGAATTATCTAAATTTAAGAAGATTATAAAGTCTCTGTAAATAAAAGTTACCCAAAAAACTCACAATAATAAAGTTACAAAGAATTCCTATGTGCTATTTCTGGTTTGATTCTCTTAAGTCTTAATCTAATTTGAAATGGTTAGTGGAGGAGTCTTTTGCGATTAGGTTTTCTTTTTGGTCTTCAATCCTCAAACGTACTCCAATTTAATTTCACATTTTTCAACTTTCCATAACAAGTCTTTAATGTGCACCTAAACAAAACTTTTATGATTTGTTAAATTAAAGTTGTTTGCCGAGTGATTGAAATTGATCTTTTCAAAATTTTTGTTTCAAATCTATAAATATTGATTTGAATTGCTTTTAAAAAAACCCATAAATATTGATTTAAACTACTTTCCAAAACAACCCTGCAATTTAATTTTGTGGGATTGATTTGAATTAAATTAGACTGATTTAATAAATTTTTATTCTAATTGTGAAAAAAATTAAAAATTTTTAATTAGCTGCCTACACATTTAAAATTAAATTCTTCAAACATCAATAAATCATGATATTAACTCATCGTCAAAATTTATCAAGAAACCTAACACACTTATCCAACCTTCATGGGTAATCTTCCCCTTAAGTTACACTACTAGAAGAAATTAGTAATCCTTTCTACATCATGCTCTACTTAGAATTTTCCTTATTTTTATAGTTTAATGAAGAAATGATTGTTTCCCTAATAAGATGTGCCGATGAATCAATGATGGTGTAGTCCGTAAAAGGATCCAACAACTAAAATGGTAGCTTAGAGATGTTGGTGATCAAAATGTTAAGGTTTAAGTACCATTTTAGTCCCTCAACTTATCACTTTGGCATCAAAATTATCCTTTAACTTTAAAAAGTATCAAAATTATCCTTAAACTTTCATTTTTGGTACCAAAATGGTCCTTTCGTCAGTTAAATGCCAGGTGACTCATTAAGATGCCACAAAATCACCCGTTTTTTTTTTATTTATTTTAATGACGTGTAAATCCAGCAACGACATTTTTTACACCGTGGTATTTTTTTACACGTCAAATTATCATCTTCTCACTTTCTCTTTTTAGTGGGGCCCACATGAAAATTTTGTTTTCTCCTTTTCCAGTTTCAATCAAGTTCCCCAAAAATCACAGTTCAATTATCTTCGTTTCTTTTCATTTCCTTTTCAAATTCAAAACCCTAAACCTACTACTACTCCTGCAAAATTAAAATCAAACTCAGATCATCTTTCTGTTTTCTTCTTCTTGTTCTTTCTCTCTCTCTCTCTCTCTTCTCCCTTCTTCCTCCCCAGATCTGGGTTTTCTCAAGCATGCTGAACCACCGCATGCCTACTCCAACTCCTATTCCAGATCTGGGTCTTCGAGTTGCTGGAGCACGTGCAGCCACACATCGTTGGTGCAGAGGAAGAACCCGACCTTGGAAAGATCGAGGTTTTTGATTCGAGAGGTCGATGTTGGAGACGGTGAGCTCAAGACGTCCAGTGTGGGTGAATCCAAACTTATCAAAAGGGATTATGGGGCGGTTGTCGAAGTGGATCTCCGAGAACCGAATCTCAGCAACCGAGAGAGAAATAAAAAGGGAAAGAAACAGAGGAAGCAGTCAAAGGAGAGCCATGGATGGCCAGAGTTTGGCGTAGATCTAAAGTGATTTGCAGATCTACTGAGGACATGTCTTCTTCCGGTTGAATTTCAGGCATGATGGAGGTAGCTTCAGATATGGCCGAAGCAGCGGAGAGCAACTCATCGAATCCAAACATCGGAACCTGACTCGAGGAGCAAAACAAGGCGTGGTAATCTGAAGGTATGATCAGACTATCCGGCGACGACATCAACGGCTTGTTCGAGGCGTACTCTCCAGTGGAGTGGATTCCATACATTTCATCCATGAAATGCGCGAGGGAAGGAGAGAGCGAGCAGGTGGCGTCGCCTAGAGGGAGAAGAACAAAGGAAGAAGAAACTGATTATGGTAGTGGAATAGCAGTTGATGTTAATGGATAACAGAGAATAATGATACTGAGAATTTTCCTGGAAAATAGAAAAAGAAAATGAAAAACGAGAAATATTGGATTTGCTGGGATTGGAGTGACAGGAGAGATGCTAAGCTTCCAATTTTAGGGTTTGCAGAGGTAAGGGAAAAGGAAAGGTAAAGGAGAGAGAAAGTGAAAGAGGAAGAAGAGGTCCTTTTTTTCTGATGTGGATGGAAAAAAAAAATGTTATTATTTTTAAATTATATAAAAATGCCAACACATAAAAAAAAAATGGCCAACTATGCTTTTTTTTTTTCCATGTCATTAGTTAAAAACAAAAGAATTGATTTGCTGTCGAATTAATTGTCACATGTCCATTTAACTAACGGAAGGACCATTTTAGTACCAAAAATGAAAGTTCAAGATAATTTTGGTACTTTTTTAAGGTGAGGGACAATTTTGGTACCAAAGTGATAAGTTGAGGGACTAAAATGGTACTTAAACCAAATGTTAATAATGATAAATTCAGTGACCACATGATTTGTCAAGTTACCGATCTCTGACTTCCGATTAACGACCGATAATCGATGGATCAAACTTTCGAGTCATCGTAACTCACGGAAGGTCCCTCAAACCGCGTTGCAGGAAAATGTCAGAGGCCCTTTCCAAAGTACTTTTCATACCCACGTTTAGGGGTGGGCAAATATCGGTTGCTAGGGGCACTCGCCTCCTGCACTCTCCAGCCAACACATGCTTTTTTATTGGGCCACGTAAGCTTGCTTCCGCTATGAAATGATTACCTATCCGAACCAACATAACGTGGCCCAATGAAAATGGAAGTGTTGGTTGGAGAGTGCAAATGGCGAGTGTTCCTAGCACTTCTCGTATAGAATTGTAAAAGACAATTAGTACAAAAGTGCTACTCCATCATAATTACTCTTTAATTAATGTAACAATTAGTCTTCAAACTACCGTTGAACGGGGGAAAGGTTTTAAGTTAGATAATGTCCCAAAGATAAGATAAAAAAAAATAAAAATGGTCCCAACCAGGGGCGGAGGCAGAAATTTTTTTTAAAGGGGGCAAAATATTAAAATTTTTAAAGTTCAAAAAAAATTAAATAATTTTTTATATACTAATTTACAAAATTTTCAAATTTCAGGAGTAGCGCCCCTAACACCCCCCGCCCCCTTCCCCGGCTCCGCCACTGGTCCCAACGATATCATGTTTAAGCAGTCTCCGACGAGATTGCTCTTATTTTTTATGCTTATATGGTTCTTTCAAGAGAGAGAAAAAAAGTGCATGTCTATTATTTTTATGGGTTTAGATTAGAAAATTTTTATTATTAAAAATATAATATTGAAATAGTTGAAATTAAATTAAAATAAAATTAGATTAAAAATATTATTATTAAAAATATGATTTTTTCTTGGTAAATTGAAAATATGACGTTGAATGTATGGAAAGATTATTGTTAAAAATATAATTAAGTTCATATTTTAAAATGTTTATTAAATAGTATATATTTAGTATTTATTAAAGATTTCAACAAATGATAAAGTATTTATTTAAAATTTATTTAAAATTTTAACAATTTTTATAATATTAAAAAATAAAATAAAATAATAAAATAGGATTTTTTTTCTTATATATATAATTTTTAAAAGCGGCCTTCTCAAATAGATCCCAAGAATAGTTATGACCACCAAACAAATTATTATAGCCACTCAATTTTTAAAATTTTATCTTTTAAAATATTAATTTTATTTAATTTAACAGTAAAAAAAGCTAATAATAGTAACTATTAGGCAATTTATATGTTTAGTTATATTGATTTTATATAATTTGATAATAAATTAGTGGATTGAACCTGGGTTGCCACTATACTGCAACGACTTTCTTGAGTTGAAGTTGAAATATACTGTTTTTGTTCCTTAAAATTAATTATCTCCGTCAAACAATATGGAATAATGTGGCAATAGCCAATAACAACTCTCAAAATTAATAATATTTAGATCAATTTGTATGTATTTCTAAATTAATACTTCACCATGCAATTTTAATGGCACACTCTTATAATATATAATGTATTCAATAAAGTTAAACTTTTTTTAAATGTTGGTTCAGATACTTGATGATGCTTATCCAACCCTTAGATTACATTAGGGAAATATTATTGACACAATTTTTTTATCCCACTTTTTTATACAATCTGACATATAATTAAAATAATTAGTTTTTTTAATTTATGTGAGATCCGTGATATTGAATCCATCTACTCATTTAATGACATGTAAAAATTATACAAAAAGATAAGATAAAAAAATTGTATTAATAACATCACCCATTACCCTATTAGAAGAAATTAGTAATCTTTTAATTTCTATGTCATGCTCTACTTAGAATTTTCCTTATTTTTATAGTTTAATGAAGAAATGATTATTTCTCTAATAAAATGTGCTGATGAGCCCTGATGGTGCTGTTCAAAAAAAAAAAAAAAAACCCATGGCGGTGTAGTCCGTAATAGGATCCAACAACTGAAATCGCGGTAGTTTACGGCCGATTATCGATGGATTAACGACCGATGATAGATAGATCATCGTTCGAATCATCGCGACTCACGGAAGTCTCTAAGAGCGTGTTGCAACTTGCATATCTTTTACTAATTTAAAAATATAAAAAATATTAATTAAAATGAATAATAATAAACTCCCTGCGTTCCAAAAAAAATTGTTTTTTCTTTTTAACTTTTTCTCCAAATTCAAAAGAATTGTCTTTTTTTTTTTAACCTTTTTTTACACAATTTATATGTTTACCTATCTTATACTTTAAAAAAAAAAAAAAGGTAAAGAGAGGTTTTTTATAATAGGATGAGTAATTAACTTAAATGAATAACTATAAGGTTAAAATAAAAAGAATATTTAATGATTTTAAAAAATATAAAACAACAATTAATTTGTAACAAATTTAAAATTAAAAAATGATAATTACTCTAGGACGGAAAGAGTATTGTCTTTCTATCTTATTATTTTTTATACACCAAGTTTTTATTTTTTATTCGATAATGTTATATTTACAATATTATATAGGATTATAAATTAATAATAACATGTCATTAAATAAATATGATGTATTATTAAATAA